TTTTATTTGCATTTTCTATAAAACATCTTTACAAAATTTAACGCAAACGTAAATGCTTTTTTTTCCTTCCGTTTTTGCGTTTGGTTTACATGTACCTTCTGATTATAGCACTACTTTTATTTGGAAAACCAAAAACACATCATTAATAATCAAGACATGGATGTGTCAACAATCGAGATCTGCTTATTTAAATCTCCACCTAATAAAGAGAAATTTAGTTAAAACAATAATTTTTGAAAGAGAAAAAAAAAACATCATTAATGATGACATTGATGTGTCAATGCAAAAACAATCGAGATCAAGTTATTAATTCTCTACCTAATATTAGATAAAGTTGTTGATTTTACCTTCCACAAATGAGCAGCAAGAAACTCAAAGGAGGAGCACGAGAACCCTTCCGGTGATCTCTTCTTCATGTTTTCTATAGTTTCACCATTAAGCTCAAAGGTTTTGATCACGAAAGGAGAGTCTGATAACTCAAAATTACCATTTTGCCCCTGATGGGATGTCATCATCGCCTGTCTGATCAGCTGGTACAGATGGTAAATGGCTGCAGCCTTGGTTACCCGGATAGCGTCCCGGTTAAACAGTAGATTTTCTCGATCATGAACCGGTTTGATGGCCAAATAATCGTTTTTATTGGTAATTTTACCATTGGATTTAACGTGAATTTGAGAGTTAAAAGCCCACGCATGAATAAATTCGTAAGCTGAGATTCCATCAAATAATGAATGGCTTGTACCGATTCCAATTGAGTAGCCTCCACATGCAAATCTTGTCACCTACATTTTTTAATTTGATTAATAATAGCAAAATAAAAAAGGTGTTTTAAGATTATTTTGTTTTGCAAATTATGCTAGCGTTAAAATTAAAAACATACTTACGATGAGACATAATATTAGCTTGGCCTTCAAAAATGGAAAAAAATTCCCAAAACTTTAAAGTATAAGTTTATTTAAATTAGATTTTACGAAGAAATTTCCTTTTAATATTTTTTTTGCATTTACGTTCGAACTCGCACTCGATCTCAAAAATTCTTTGTCATAATATAAGGCGGAAATGAAATATTTGTGTTTAAGTTTAATGGAGTTGGCCATGAGTCATATTGATGAAAACTTTAGAAACCCAGTCAAGTACGTATACAAATATTGATATATACACGTAGAACAGTTTTATATGTTAATACGTAAATTATTCACAATTCTTGCTAAAAAACGTATATAATAATATTTGTTTATAGGTACTTATTTCACAATTCTAACAAACACAAAACGGTACTTTTGATATTTGCAAGAAACTTACCTGAGCAACAACAAGAGGCATCACAGAGAAATCACCATCAAAGGAAGGCTTATAAACCAAAGTCTCATAGAACTCATTGTAATGAGTCAAGTCACCAAGCTCCGACAACTTGACACCTGTTGCCACCGCCTCCACCATGACTGCGCCGCCACCATTACACCGGAGGTTAAGCTTGCAGCCACCTCCGTCCATAACCAACCTCCCGGCGGCCGGATACCACATAGACAGAGTCTCCTCCAGCCCGAGTTTCAAGTCGGAGAAGACCAAATCAAAGTCACGAATTGTGGTTTTCTTGTAGAAGAAAACCATGTACATGAGTAAAGGACATTGACGGTCCAAGTTGGAGAGGGTGATTAGTTTCTTCTGATCTTGGTTTTGAAATCTTGGATAGACATTAAGCTTTTGGATTATATCGATATGTTTTGCCATTAACATTTGTGTATGAGAGTTGAATACAATGTGAGTGTGTGTGTGCATGTAATAAGATGCGTAACATATGTTATATATATAGAGGAAGATAAATTAAAGGGGCTTAATCATATGCCAAGGAGCCATTCTATGTGTCTCTTCAGATAGATTTGAGGGCTTTTATTTTCACTTTATTAATAATCTAATTTTCATCTAAGTGCTCTATGCCTAAGGATGATTAGTTTCACCACTAACAAGTATCTTTATCTTACTATTGGCGGTGTTTATCATTTGGTTATTTAAATTCGAATACGAATGATTATAAAGATACTTTCATTTTCTAGTATTTTATGCTATTAAGATATAAAATACAAAAGCCTATATGTGCTAGCTCTTTGGCATAGGCTTTAAATTAGGTTCACATAAACACTATATTTTATTTCGAAATATTCATAGACATATTATGAATTTTGATGTCGAATTTGGGTTACGTGTAGATTGAGAAATAAACTCCCAAAATTTGTCCTAAGCAAAATTTTATGATAAAGGAATCTATCTAAGGGGAAACGACGTTACAACGAATTTAGCAACAATTTATTTTAGAGGTTTATCTTTGATAAAATAGTACTGTACCGTATTTTAACCCTGTCTTTAGCTATTTCCTAATAACAAACTCTAGCAATTGTCATTTGCTTGGATACTTCTTTATTTTTAATTACTTAGATACTTCTTTATTTCTTGCTATTGACCTAACTCACTCTTTATTAATTCGTCATCATTAATTATTATCATTGGTATAAAACTTTCGTCATTTTGTTTGTTATTATTCCTTTTATTTTGTTTGTAGCGTGGTGAAGATGATGTAGATAGAAATGCATAGAGAACTTGAGTGTCAAGGTTGAGATCCTTCGAAAGTAACAAAGATTTTACCGCGACTTCAAAATATATTCCATTAGATCTGCAGTTAAGTTTTTTAGAATCCCACATATGAAGAAAACATAATTCATCTTAAATTAGTTTTTTTGGAAGTCTAGTAGTACTAATATAGTTGTAATAATACACATATATTTTGGTTAGTAAATAGGTGTAAATATAGTAGAAGAGTACTTAGAGCATTATTAATGATTTTTTTTGTGTTTTAATACCTTTTTTATTAAAATATAATAAATTTTTATGAACTTTGATGAGAAAGATTCTATGTATTGAACCTTAAGACAAACGTTTAAAAAAAATAATATTAAAAATGATTTAAAACACTTTAATAGGTGTTAAGGTTAAAGATGCTCTAAGTATAATGAGGTTAGGTGAGATAAAAAGACTGTACACAATCATACAAACCCTACGACCTCCATCACGAGAGTGCTATCTTCCCTAAGACCTTAATATGAACTTATCACATATAAGGTCAAACATACACTATTGTTGCAGATAAAAAAGCAACTAAGTTGTCCTCATTAGAGCCTCAATTATTTCAAACGCAATTATGGGTTTGATTTCGTTTACATCATGAATCTTTTATACAAAAGAAAAATGACATTGTTGAAAAAGAAACATTTTTATTTTCCATTATTAAGAAGTATTTTGCAAAATGCGCAAACGGAAGGAGAACTTTTTTTTTTATAAAACGGAAGGCGAAATTTTCATATACGTTTGGCGTTTACGTTTATCATTAACAAATTAATCAACTTTGTAATTATAGATGCACTTGGAAACAATATTATACAATAAATGTAAACGTGACACACACTGACACACATAAACAGAGGCCACAATCTAGGGATTGATACAAGGTATCCCTACATTCCAACGGCTTTCTATTTAATTTGTGATTTTCTTTGTTTTCAATG